AAAAAAAAAAAAAAAAAAAAAAAAAAAAAAATAGTAGTTTGCACTATGACTTCTCAAAAGAAGCATATTAGGCACTATACTTTTTTCGCGTTCTAATTAAAGAAAAATGTTGCTGAGGCTGCCGAAATGATTTATTCCGCTTTAGCTGAAGATGTTGTGATTCATAAAACATAGGAAAAGTGGTTTCAGAAGTTTCGAAATGACAATTTTGACCTTATTGATGCAGTAAAATACTGAAAAAAATTGCGGACAAGGAATTAGAACAGCTATTGAACAAAAATGTTTGTCAGATGTAGTAGGAAATTGCTGAGAAACTTTGTGTAACTCAACAAGCTATTTCCGCTTGCTGTTAGCTGAGAGGTTTGAAACTTTGCATATTCCTTTTTCCCTTTTTTTTATTTGAATGTATGGAAATGTTATTTAATATATTTTGCAATGCAGTTAGTATTAAATTAATTTTAGGATATGGTAAAGTTTTATATAAAAATTCTTATGTAAAATGCTTTATGTAGTATATATGTTCATGAAACGTACGTGTCTAATAATATACATAACTGAACTATTACAACGATCTAACACCGCTACACTAAAATCATTAGTATTCATTTTAAAATGTGCAATAATGTAAGCAAATTCTATCTCAATACAAATGAAAATACTGATTAACTATATGCACAGTTTATTTAACCCATTACAGCCCATGGGCAGGCCAACAGAGTTATGGTTAAACTAACTAACTATTGGGATTAGTGCATTTGGTCAAAATATGATTATCTATGACAAAAAATCAATTTTTCAATTGTTTACAAAATAATTTGCCAACAGAGTTATGGTACTAACTAACTATTGGGATTAGTGCATTTGGTCAAAATATGATTATCTATGACAAAAAATCAATTTTTCAATTGTTTAAAAAATAATTTGTTTAAACAATTTATTGTAAAATACAATTTTTTAAAAAACTAATAGCGCCATTAGATTCTACGGAAAAAATGATGAAAGGAAAGTATGTTTTAAAGACATTTTACACAATCTATTTGTTGCAAAATTTAAATAAACAAATAAAAGCGTTATCCTGCCCACGGGCAGACCAGTAATGGTATGATACTATTGGGATTAGGCATTTGGTCAAAATATTAACTAACTATTGAGATTAGACATTGGTCAAAATACGATTATCTATGACAAAAAATAAATTGTTTAATTGTTTAAACAATTTGTTAAAACAATTTATTGCAAAATGGATTTTTTAAAGAAAAACTAAGAGTATAATTGTGCACTGCCGTATCTCATCTATTTATGACAAAGTAATTTGAAATAATTATATATATTGTATTATCAACCTATTTTATGATTATGGATTTATCTTTATAATTATTAGTTTTTAATATTCATTAATATTAGAATTTTTTAATTGTGTTTTGAATTCGTGATGTTTGATCATTTTTGCTTACAGTATTTCCATGGTTGAGTAATACTAGAAATTTGTACGCGTTTTTCGTATTCTTATTGTTACATGATTTTTTATGACATTAGTATCATTTTTATGATACTATCATAAAATCATTTTTTCATTAGATCATTTTTTTATGACATTTTAGTATCCTTTTGCATGATCATATTTGTAGTATCCTGGTATGGTACGATATAAGAAAGCCGCATGCAAATGATCGGAGTAACCAAAACTTGTGCGTTTCAATCACTAAAGCCAGCGGCACACGGTGCTTGTTTTCATGCTGGATTGCTTGCTGATTGGTGCATTTCTGAAGATGGATGGAAATACACCAATCAAAACAGAGTATTTCCATCATGAATCCAGCATGAAAACAAGCATCGTGTGCCGCTGGCTTAACAGGTGAAAAGTGTAGTTCTCGTACTACCTATTATTGCAATAAATGCAAAATTCCTTTATGCAAAAAAATATGTTGATATTCACACAAACTTATTAGAAGGTGAAACATAAACAATAAAGTAAACGCATTATACAACAAATTGTAAAGCAAATTGTTATTGAAAAATCAATTTTTTTATGTCATATATAATCATATTTTGACCAAATGCACTAATTCCAAATGCACTAATTCTAAATGCACCAATTCTAAATGCACTAATTAGTATCGCTATCGGTCTGCCCGTAGGCAGGAACGGATGACGCTTTTATTTAATTGTTTATTTAAATTTTGCAACAAATAGATTGTTTAAAAATTGTTTAAAACATATTTTTCTTTTATCATTTTTTCCGTAGAATCGAATGACGTTATAGTTTTTAAAAAAAATTCTATTTTACAATAAATTGTTTCAATAAATTATTGTTTAAACAATTGAAAAAATTGATTTTTGTCATAGATAATCATATTTTGACCAAATGCACTAATCCTAATAGTTAGTTTAACCATAACTCTGCTGGCCTACCCATGGGCTGTAATGAGTTAATATTACTTTACAGAGT